TCCTTGTCCACCACCCAGTCTTTACTTCCTGGACAAAAAGCAGGTATCCGCGGAGGCGTGGCCACTTCAGAGGTGGGCGTGGCTTTAAAAAGTGGGCGTGGCTTAATTTTCGGTGGGACAAAGCTCTCGCGGCCGCAGGTTGTTCACTCAAACCCACAAATATTACCCCTCCACATACACAACAACATGAGGAAACAACGCAAATCCACACCACAGGGAGACCATGAGGAAATCTCTCAAGAAGCCTCAATAGGAGCTAGCCACCTTAGGGACCTCTCTGACAAGGAATTCAGATATGAAGTCATCAAGATGTTCGATCAACTCGATGAAACAGTCACACACATATCCGCTAAACTGAAAGAGGACATGAAAGAAATAATCGATCGCACAATTGACAAAATACAGCAAGAATTTCATTTCATTTCATTTCATCATCCTGTTATTCGTCAATTGCCTCGAGCAGGCCCCAGTAACGTCTCTTTCATCCTAGCCCTGAGATTATATTCAAGGCTATTTAGGAGAATGAGACCCATCATTGTTACTGGTATTTGGCATATTTGGTACACCACGGGGAGTTTGCCAGACTCTGCCCTGTGGGCAGGCTACATTTGATAGCCTGCAAGTTTGTCCAAAGTAGGAACGAGACAATAAGATGTCATAAAAAAAAAGTTCTGATAAGATGTCGCGTTGCCACGAATGCAGCCGCGCGGTTCCGGGATCTGTATTTTATAGTCTCTGAGTCTTGGCCGCTGATGGGATTACACGGCACCAGGGGGCCAGGTGGTAGGTGTGACCCCCGCCTACTGGAATTGGAGTCGAGCATCTTCCACCCAGATCCTCCAAATTCCAGTAGGCGGGGGTCACACCCACCACAGCAAGAAATGAGAGCCAAAATTGGAAAGCTCCGCACAGAAATGGCACGCATCACAGATTCCATAGACGAAGTCAAAACCTCACTCACTGCCCTCAACAACAGAATGACCACAGCTGAGGAAAGAATCAGTGACTTGGAAGATCAGCTGCACCAAGCCAACAGACAACAGCAAACGATGTCAAGGGACCTCAAAATAGCTCAAGAGCAAATCAGAGTCCTACAAGATGATTCCAGAAGAAACAACATTAGAATCATTGGACTACCAGAAGCTCAAGGAAACAATCCCAATGAAAAACACCTGCTGAAACAAATTATTGCCGAAAAATTCCCAGCGCTCCATGATACAGCCATCCAGATTCAAGAAGCCCGAAGGGTGCCAGCTAAAAGAGACCCCAACAGAAACACCCCAAGACATATTATAGTCAGAATGATCGATGCTGCTGATAGAGACACAATACTGCAAGCAGCAAGGGCAAAAAAGGAAATCACATACAAAGGAGTGCTCCTGAGATTCACAGCAGACCTCTCAGAGGAAACCCTACAAGCCCGAAGACAGTGGCGAGATATAGTCAAAAAACTCACTGAAATGAATGCTTCACCAAGAATACTCTATCCGGCTAAACTCTCACTCCAAATAGATGGAAAGCTACACTATTTTCTAGATAAACAGCAGCTCAGGAACTTCATAGACTCAAAACCAAACCTAAAACAAGGACTAAAGGGGCTACTATAAGACAAGACAAACCCTACAACCACAACACACCCGCACAGAAACATGACACAAAACCCCATAACCATACTCTCTCTCAATGTCAATGGTCTCAATTCACCATTGAAGAGGCACAGAGTGGCAAAATGGATACAGAGACAGAACCCAACATTCTGCTGCCTACAAGAAACTCATCTCAACACTCAGAGCAAACACAGACTCAAAGTCAAAGGATGGAAAACAATCCTGCAAGCAAACAGCTCCTGTAAAAAAGCTGGGGTGGCCATAGTAGTATCTGACAACATTAATTTCACCCTGAAAAAGGCTAGAAGGGACAGTGAAGGCCATTTTCTATTCATCAAGGGATACGTACAACAGGAAGAGATCACACTCTTAAATGTATATGCACCTAATGAGGGAACAGCCAAATATTTAAAACAACTGCTAACAGACTTTAAGGAGGACATTGCAAGCAGCACAATAGTACTTGGAGACTTCAACATTACCCTATCAACTCTGGACAGATCAACAATAACAAAACCCAGCAAGGAATCATTGGCTTTGAAAGAAGAAATAGAAGAGAGAGGGCTTATAGACCTATACAGGGCTTAACACCCCAAAAAGAAAGAATACACATTCTTCTCCAGTGCACACGGAACATTTTCCAAAATAGACCATGTGCTAGGACACAAAACATACCTCAACAAAATAAGGAAGATAGAAATAGTATCAACCATCTTTTCAGACCATGATGCACTGAGGATAGAAGTGAATCACACACAGACACGGAGAACCAAATCAAACACCTGAAAATTAAACAACTCGATGCTGAACAATGAATTGGTCAGTAACAAAGTCAAGGACGAAATCAAAAGATACCTGGAAACAAATGAGAATGAAGACACGAGCTACCAGAACCTATGAGATGCAGCAAAAGCTGTATTAAGGGGAAAATGTATAGCTCTGCAAGCATATCTTAGGTCTGTAGAAATGGTGCACATAAACAACTTGACCTCACAGCTCAAGTCCTTAGAAAAAGATCAACAGAAAGAACCTAAATCAGGCAGAAGGAAAGAGATCATAAAACTTAGAGCAGAAATCAATGACATGGAAACCAAAGAAACAATCCGAAAGATCAATGAAACCAAGAGCCGGTTCTTCGAGAGAATAAACAAGATAGATAAACCACTCGCAACACTCACAAAGAAACAGAGAGAGAGAACCCTAATAAACCGAATCAGAAATGAGAAGGGGGATATCACAACAGAAACCAAAGAAATCCAAAAGATCATCAGAGACTACTTTGAAAGTCTGTATGCCACGAAACAAGAGAACCTAGAAGAAATGGACAAATTCCTGGACTCCTATAAGCTCCCAAAGCTGAATCAAGAAGACCTGGAGTATCTGAATAGACCTACTATCATCAACGAAATAGAAACTGCAATCAAAAGCCTTCCCAAAAACAAAAGCCCGGGCCCAGATGGATTCACTAGCAAATTTTTCCAAACATTTAAAGAGGACCTGCTGCCAGTCCTTCTCAAGCTCTTTCAGGAAATTGAAAAAACGGAAACTCTCCCAAACAGTTTCTATGAAGCCCATATCTCTCTAATACCAAAAGGAAACAAAGATATCATGAGAAAAGAAAACTACAGGCCGATATCCCTGATGAACACGGATGCGAAGATTCTCAACAAAATACTAGCAAATAGAATTCAACAACTCATCAAAAAGATCATACACCATGACCAAGTAGGATTCATCCCAGGGATGCAAGGATGGTTTAACACTAGGAAATCAATCAACATAATCCACCACATCAACAAAAGAAAAGATAAAAATCATATGATCATATCAATAGATGCAGAGAAAGCATTTGACAAGATCCAGCACCCATTTATGATGAAAACCCTAGAACAAAATGGGAATAGAGGGGACTTTTCTCAATATAGTTAAAGCCATCTACCACAAGCCTACAGCAAGCATCGTCCTCAATTGTGAAAAACTGAGAGGCTTCCCTCTAAGATCAGGGACGAGACAAGGATGCCCACTCTCTCCACTGCTGTTCAATATAGTATTGGAAGTACTTGCAATAGCGATTAGGCAAGAAAAGGATATTAGGGGCATCCAGGTAGGAAAGGAAGAAATCAAGCTCTCACTATTCGCAGATGATATGATACTATACTTAGAAAACCCTAAAACCTCTATCAAGTAACTTCTAGAAACAATAGGCTTGTATAGTAAAGTGGCAGGTTATAAAATCAATGCCCAAAAGTCCATGGCTTTCCTATATGCAAATAGTGAAAGAGAAGAAAAAGACATGAAGAAAACAATCCCATTCACAATTGTGCCCCAGAAAATCAAGTACCTAGGAATCACCTTAACTAAGGAAGTAAAAGACCTGTACAAAGAAAACTACAAAACTCTACTTCAGGAAATAAAAGAGGATACGAGGAAATGGAAAAATATCCCCTGTTCATGGATCGGGAGAATTAACATTGTCCAAATGGCAATACTTCCCAAAGCACTGTATAAATTCAACGCAATCCCTATTGGGATACCCATGACATTCTTTAAAGAATTGGAAAAAACACTCCTGAAATTCATATGGAACAATAAGCCCCCACGAATAGCTAAAGCAATTCTAGGGAAAAAGAAAATGGGAGGAATCAACCTCCCTAACTTCAAACTCTACTACAAGGCAGTAATAATTAAAACAGCATGGTACTGGAACAAAGGCAGAGCTGTAGATCAATGGAACAGGGTTGAATATACTGACGTACCCCCCCAAGTATACGAGCATCTAATCTTCGATAAGGGGGCAAGAAAAGTGAAGTGGAGCAGGGAAAGCCTCTTTAACAAATTATGCTGGCAAAACTGGACGGCTATATGCAAAAAAATGGGCTCAGATCTCTGCCTAACTCCATGTACAAAAGTAAGATCTAAGTGGATTAAAGACCTCAACATCAGACCGGAATCTATAAGATACATTGAGGTAAATGTTGGCAAAACCCTTCATGACATAGAAGCTAATAGTGTCTTCAGAGATGTCACACCTCTGGCCAAGCAAGTGAAAACAGAGATAGATAAATGGGACTATTTTAAACTAAGAAGCTTCTGCACCTCAAAAGAAACAGTGACCAAAATACAAAGACAGTCAACTGAATGGGAAAGGATATTCGCCAACTACACATCTGATAAGGGGTTAAAGGTAAAGGTAAAGGTAAAGGCCCTCCCGTTGATCGTCGATTTGCTCGAGCGGGCCCAGTAACGTCTCCATTGGAGACTTTGTTGTTACTGTGTCTGGCATATTGAATACTCTCGGTAGCTTGCCGGGCTCTCTGAGAGGGGTGGAGGAATCGAACTCGGGTCGGCCATGTTGGCCACTTGTAAGGCGAACGCCCTACCCACTGTGCTATCGCTCGCTTCGGCAGCACATATACTAAAATTGGAACGATACAGAGAAGATTAGCATGGCCCCTGCGCAAGGATAAGGGGTTAATTTCAAGGATATACAAAATACTGGTTCAACTCCACAAAAAGAAAACATTCAACCCCATCAAAAAATGGGGAGATGAAATGAATAGAAACTTTGACAAAGAAGAAATCTGAATGGCTAAAAGACGCATGAGAAAATGTTCCACATCATTAATCATCAGGGAGATGCATATCAAAACCACAATGAGGTATCACCTCACACCACAGAGACTGGCCCATATCCACAAGAACAAAAGCAACCGGTGCTGGCGCGGATGTGGTGAGAAAGGGACACTCCTTCACTGTTGGTGGGAATGCCGACTGGTACAGCCCTTCTGGAAAGCAGTATGGATGATTCTCAAAAAAACTAGAAATTGAGCTCCCATTTGACCCAGCAATACCACTCCTGGGAATATATCCCAGAGAGGCAAAAAAGTATAACTGAAGTGACACCTGCAATTGTCTGTTTATTGCAGCACTCTTTACAATAGCCAGAATCTGGAAAAAACCTGAGTGCCCGAGAACAGATGACTGGTTGAAGAAACTCTGGTACATTTACACAATGGAGTACTATGTAGCTGTTAGGAAAGACGAAGTCATGAAGTTTACATACAAGTGGTACTACATGGAAAGTATCATGTTAAGCGAAAGAAAGGGATAGACATAGAAAGATTGCATTCATCTGGGGAACATAAAGTAACAAAATAGGAAACTAACACCCAAGTATGGCAGAGATTGGTACCTCAATGACCCAGAGGACAAACACACATGTTAGGGGAAGGGGGAGCTCAGAAAGAGAAGGGAACACCAAATAAAGGGTGTTGGGAGGATCCGCCCATGATGGGAGAGCATGCTGAGGGTAGACTGTCGACCAAGCATGATTGCCACTCAATGCCTCTTTTGCTGACCATGGCACTCAAAAGGAGAGAGAGGGAAATGCCCTGCCACAGAGGTAGGGTGGGATAGGGGCTGGGGGGGGAGGGGATGCTGGGATCCGAGGTGGTGGGAAATGCACACAGGTGGAGGGATGGGTGTTTGATCATTGTATAATCGAAACCCAAGCACAAAAATGTGTAAGTCTACAACTGTACCTCATGGTGCCTCACTATTAAAAATTAAAAAAAAAAAGTATTGGCAAATAGAATGATCAGAAAAAAAATCAGCAAGAGCCAGCTAGTGATTACTATATGATTTTGACCAATGTAAATAACAAAATTAAAACCATTTAATACGATACAATAAAATACATAGTCTCATTTACATATATACATTTTCAACTCTAGAATATAAAGTATGTTACACTAAATTTTATTTTATACTTGAATCTCATTATGGTAATAATCATGTCTAAACTGTCATTATTAAAATCTTTAAAGCAAAAAAAAAGAAAAAGAAAATAAAAACGTAAGAACAGCTAAGCATTTTAGAAAGTTATTTCAGCAGTAGGAAGAACAACTTGTAACTCCACTGGACTTCCGTTTGCTGATCTGAGTTTAACATTTTTATTTAATTGGATGGTGCTAATAATTCATTCATTGAACATCAAGCTCCTCTCCTGAATAGTAGAAAAAGATTCCTCATTTGTAAATATTTGTATCTAGAGAAATTAGCACATCAGTTGTATAATCTATGTTTTTGGCAAATGGAGCATAAAATTTATCAATCTATTTTTAACATAAAGATACTGAACCTTCAGAAATTTCCTGGGTGACCAAATGTCTTCTAATTTACTAATGTTTCATATGTCTGGGAGATAGTTAATGGTTACCAGAAAGGTGAAGCCCTAATTGGAGGTTTGGATCTGTTAGTGTTACCCTTAATTTCTGGCAATGAAATTTTGAGGAGAGAATAAAGACTACTTAATAAGCAATCATGCCTGTGCAATAAAATCTTCATAAAAATATGTCAAAAGGAAAACCTCTGAAAAAAATGGAAGACACCAACCAGAAAAGCTCCTTGCTAAAAATATCCAGAAGTCAGTTGCATAATGCAGAAAATGTCTCATCCACTTCAATTTGGCTTGCCCACAGGGCACATGTGTCTTCATATCTGAAGGCACATACTCAGCTATAGAATATCAGAGGGGCATTATCAGTGGTTGAAGAGACACCCAAGCTGTATCACTAGCCACTAGGACTATGGATAAATTTTACCCACCATGGGAAAGAACAAAAAACAATTTCAGTGTTTTCATCAAAGATGAAAGACTATCTTACTTGCAGAAATAACTTTCAGGGGAAAAGAAGTACAGCTATTCCTATAGTTTCAGATGAACTGTAGATTGACTGAGTCTACTCTCTGCTCCATCAGGAAATAGCACAATCATTAAGCAGAAGACAGTTGGTGGGACTGTGGCAGGAGCAACTCGAAAAACAGGCATAGTGGAGCTCTCCTTCTTATGAGAATGTTTCCTTCTTAGGCACTACTGACTATAGATAATTGGTTACACTGGTTTTCACCATGTCCTTATTACTATTACCCTTCCTTTCCCCTCTTTATTCTGTTATAGAATCAAAAGAAAAAAATCAACAAAAGCAAGACTGGTACTTCGAAGTGATTGAACCAATTTATGGATTTCTTGCTAGATTCAACAGCAATAATTAATATCCTAGTGAAAAGATTTAGATATGAAAGAAATGAAGTTACATCTAGTACCACAGAATAGTATAGTATAGATACAAAGGAACATTAGCACTGTAGCACTGTTCTCCCGTTGTTCATCAATTTGCTCAAGCGAGCCCAGTAATATCTCTGTTGTGAGACTTGTTGTTACCGTGTTTGGCATATCCAATACGTCATGGGTAGCTTGCCAGTCTTTGCCATGTGAGCGAGGGGCGGAGGAATCGAACCCGGCCTGGCTGGCTGAGCACAAGGCAAACGCCCTACCGCTGTGCTATCACTCCAGTCCAAAGGAACATTAAATATATATAAATATAATGTAGTACACATTTAAATTTATGTTATGTATAAAAACATCGATTTGCTCGAGCAGGCCCAGTAACGTCTCCATCGTGAAACTTGTTGTTATATAGGATAATAATTATAACATTTATAGAAACAAATCATAAAATCTAAAGGAGATGGACATGTTTTTAGATTTTTTTAGATCACATATCGTTCCAGGATTGACTCCAAAATAGAAAGCTTAAGCAGACCCATCACAAATACATTTGGAGCAAAAAATATCAAAAGTCTCTGTAATAGCAAAACCTAGAAAGAGATGGATTCACTAAAAAATTCTATAAAACTTTCAAAGAAATAATGCCTATCACTCAAAATATTTTAAGATATTCAGAAAGGATAATACCACCAAATACATTTCTAGAGGCCAATATCAGTCTAATTCTAAGCACATAAAAAGCATAAATAAGAGTAAATAAATACATAGAAGTTCAGACCAATATCTCTAATAAATCCATATCAAATCTTCAAAAAGTCCTGGCAAATTGAATTCAGCAACACATCAAGAGAGATACTCACTGTAATGAAGAAAGATTCAGGTCAGGGATGCAAAGATTATTCCACACAGAAAATCCATAAGTCACATCAATATGTCAACCAAACAATGATAGATTAATGATAAATGATAGATAAAAATTGCATAATCATGTCAACTGTTGCCAAAAAGCTTATGTCAGAATCCAGTGTTTGCTTTGATAAAAAATAGTCAATTGAGAATAGAAGAAACAATTCAGTATAAAAAAGCTTGCATGGTAAATCATATAAAATAAAAATTTCAATAGAAAAAAACTAAGTGTTACTATAACATGTGAAACTACATGAGTAATCATCTCTTACTTGTCAACATGGTTTTGGAGTTCTGGCAAAGAAATTTAAAGAAAATACAAAAAGAATCCAAATCAGAAGAGTTATAGGAAAAAATATTACTATCTAAACACAATATGATATGCGAGGAAAATCACGAAGGGCTAACAAAGAGACTAACAAAGAACAGAGATTGGGTATTTACCTTGCACACAGCAGATCCAGGTTTGGTCATCGACACCCTGTTGGCTCCATAAAATCCACCCAGAATGATCCTTGAGCATGGATTCAGGAATAAGCCAAGGACTGTTGGATATACCTCAAAAATCAAAATGCAAACAAACAAATAAATAAGTGCTGGTTGGAAATGTAGTGAAAAAGGAACTCTTATGCACTAATACGGAAAATGTTGCATGGTTCAGCTTCTATAAAAACTGATTTGAAACCTCAAAAAAATTAAAAGTATAGATTTCATAGGATACAATCTTCCATTTTGGAACATCTATACCAAAACATGAATCATTAATTTGCAAGGATACAAACACATGTTTTTTTCAGAATTATTTACAGTAGAAACCATCTTGAAACAACTCAACAATGGAGTAAATTAGTGAACTGTAGTATATAGACACAAAGGACTGCTACTTTGCTGTGAGGAAAAAATGAAACCATGCGTTGGAAGGTGTCATCCTATTTAATCAGAAGCGAAAAGAGAAACACTGAATGATCTGCTCATATGTGTAGTATAACAAAACAAACAAAGGGAATATACAATTCCCACTGAAAAAAATTCCCTAAGATATAGCCAAATGAACTGTGAACTGAGCTTGAAAGTAGGGGCAGAAAGGGACCTCCATATAACGGTGGTGTTTGGTGGGTTACACTGAGTGTATGAAACAAGACTAGTAATACTTTTTCAAATATTTTTCCTAATGAGGGGCTGGAGCAAGAGCACAGCGGGTAGGGTGTTTGCCTTGCACATGGCCAATCCAGGTTCGATTCCCAGCATTCCATATGCGCCCCCAAGCACCGCTAGCAGTGATTCCTGAGTGCAGAGCCAGGAGTAACTCCTGAGCATCGACTGGGTGTGACACAGAAAGAAAAAAAAATTTCCTAATGAAAGTAACTGATCTAAAACTTTAAATCTAATTATAAATAGAAAACTATCTTGTTTGCCAATAAACATTTGTGAGAATGTGATCAGTTCTCCTTAGTTATACTATAATCATTAACTTATTTATTGGATTATCTGACTATGCTCAGGGATCATTCCTGGTTGGGCC